ATGCTGTATTCTGTAAAATTGGCAACGTTTTTTTGGCCAAATAGACCATGCAAAGTGTCTAATAAACTCTCATCATGAATCTAACTGGTAATAAAAAAACAACATAAACAGTCAAATAGATTTTAAGTTTATCATACCGATAAATGGAATCAAATATGGGACATTTCTCAAATCATCGATCATAATGAGAATGACATAGTTTTTGCCCCATTGAAAAGTATCAATTCTCTCCATAATTTAAAGATTTGGAGATATATATTGAACAAATTTGGGAAATTCCGAAATTTGAAAAAAATTGGAAGCAAATTTGGGGTTGTAGATTTCTATGGCCCCACGGTATTTAGGGCTCTGGTCTGAGTGGTGGTCAGAGTACATAAAAAACTAAATAAATATTGAAAACAAAAAATGCCTAAAATTGCATCGTGTCAATTTCATTGTCAGTTTGACAGCTGAACTTCATATATGGAAATACTTTACAACGATTGAGAAATAAGTAATTTTACGTACGCTCTTCCATCTTGGATCGAGATGATGTTTGTAAAGCGCTTTCAATGTTAATAAAAACAAGACATTTCTTTGTTTTTCATTAATTTGGGTTTGTCACCACGTAACTAGATATTTTGAAGTATTTGTAAAATGCCTTGATCATGATGTGATATACAGTGAAAAAAGTTCTATATATACCTTGTTTGAGAAGGTCATTTCCTCACTAAGTGATGTACTGTTGGCAGATACGTCAGTAAAAAGTAGTTTGGGGTTTGATTCAGCGGGTAGAAAACATGAGAGTTCTATGAAAATTTCCTCTTCGATATGCAGTATCAAACCTTACCTGCTTATACGATATCACATTTCCACTACTTTGTCTAGATCGATCATATTTGTTTGCTCTTTTCACTGAACGTGTTCGAATGGTATGTATTCAATATAATACAAAATCGTGGCCTTCTAGAGACGCCTGCTTGCTTGAATGTTCGGTGGTGCACAGAAAAAATTCTTACGGAACAATCATACCGATTTGACGATCGCCGGTCGCGACAGTTGGCAACGCCGCGATTCTGTCAGCGCTTGCTAGATAACACCGACACGATACCGTTTGAACTGCCCAGATAAAAATAAAACACTAAAAATTTACATTCCCCCAACAATACGCCAAATAGCGCACGCTTTGCAACAATACGCTCAATTTTCACGACGCGATCTGAACGATCACGGATATACAGGGTATCCAGAAGATATCTACAGCACAACGGTATGTGTAAAAATAAATACGGAAAACACTACTTAGGACTTTAAACAAATTTCGTAAATCAATTTAGGGATCCATTAGACATCGCGAAGATACAGCTTGGAATCTCGGAAAAGATACGAAGTCGCCAATGTTGAGATAATATTTTAACCAATGTGTTTCTAAGACTTGAAATTATCTCAATAAAACCTTTTTAACTTTGGGAATTCCGGCAACGGTGCTGAATAAGGAAAAATCTTGCCAGGTTCCCCTATTCTCCGTAAATCGCGTAGGCTCATCTGGCAACATGTTAAACACAGAATAACGAACACTATAACGGAGCAGCAAAATAAATGCATTAAAAAAACTGCCCGATATTGCGAATAATTCCTAAATTACCCCGAATCTCGCAATCCCACCATGATATAGTTATTCTACGATCAAATCCGATTTCAACATTCAAACAAATTCTCAATAACAACGCTTTGAACTGTGCACTTACCGTACAATAACCATGAAATAATTGGAATCCGCACAGAACAATTCGAGTGTATTTCGAGGTATCACCCGCTACACATTTTCACCGTGTACTACGCGATTAGAAGTATGTATCTCGGTCTTGTTCTATTCTAAACTGGAAGCCCGATGTTTTCAGGTAGGTATACGGCTAGATAGTAAGCAGATTACGTTGCATCGTTTTTACCTGTCCGACACAAAGTTGCTAACCATAATACGTATCTTATTTGAAGAACACCTCTCTATTTAATATACGGTAATGGTACGTTTTTCGACTACGGGCGACTACTAATTCAACTGGCTCACCCGAGTTGTAGAGGACTGTGTATACAAGGGCGCATACGGAACGACTTTTAGGGAAGGGGGAAAATGTTATCAACACTATTTAAATATTATACAAAGTGTTCTTTTTATTACATTTCTCTCTAATTTCAATACTTCGCTCATAGATACAGAACATAAGAAGTACAAGTTTTCCCCTGGCGAAAAACAAGTAAAAGCCATCGCTATCCACCAATGAACGCCCCAAGCTCGTTCTGCCGTGACTGTGACTGGGATTAAGAGAAATAGGGAGGCCATGACCCAGCCTGTAGATACGCTTTTGTTTAGAGTGACAGGAGGGTGATGAGTGACCCCAAGTGTTCAATGTAAGCAGTATTACGTTGTAGGATAATCACGCACTTTTCAAACAAGTACAGTCGTGTTAAAATCAATATATGGCTCTAGAAGCTACCGGGGAATTAACGCAAGGGGAATAACCAGAACACATAAGATGTGAGTCATCCCGTTGTAGCCACTTTTTCCTTAAACTTTATTTACTATACTTTCTAATTTTTTGGGCTAAATTTCGCCTCACTGATGTACATTAAGGTCGCATGTTCCTTTTTATCGCTTTTTTGCAGCAGTATTATGTCCTTGGTTATTTCATTGTGAATAGACAATGTTTTCAATTTTTTTACAAAAAATGTATTATTGTGCATTATTTTCTTCAATCGTAACTTGTTAACAAATTTTAGTACAGCTCTGACTATTTTAATGGAAGAATAAAAGGGGACATTACTTTTATTCTTTGCACTTTTTCTCTTCGGAATATCTTTGATTTTCTTGGAAAAAAAATATCTTATGTGCTATTCCAGACTATAACCTAACTCTTTATAAAAATTTCATCGAAATCCATTCAGCCATTTCAGCCTGATTGCGTAACATACACACTTTCTCATTTTTATAATATTAGTGAGGATACAGAAAAACCAATCATTTGATGACTAGATAAATTGAATTTAATGGAGTACAACTAGCCGATTTCTTAATAATTTCACTTCACACATTGAAATGTTGACGTTACGCCATTAAAACATAATCCGACCTGTAATTGTTTTATTCAGGGAAATAGATATTTATAACATCAAGAATGCTGCTTAAACGTCGCAAACGGTGTGCTGTTCAAATACGTACAAGATAACAAAAATAGCTGACCTAAATCCATGAAAAGAGGAATGATCTTTACTGTTTATACGATTCCTACATCCTGATTCAATGCTCTGATATTCCTATCTAAAACAAATCGCTAACAGTGCACACTGAAACAGTACAAATATACACTACTATACGGTTTAAAAATGTTTCAATATGAAATTTGAAACTTCTCAATTAAAACTATTTCGTGAATCTCCAGAATATAGAATATTCAAAATTGGTGAACCAAGATAAAAGTAGCTTTCACACGGGTTAAACTGAAATGATCTGTGGCATATTTGTTAAAATAAGAGGTTATTGACTTGCTCACAAAACACAGTAACATTCCTCCACGATATTTTGAGTGACATAAACTGCCAATATAATAAATGATGTCTAGTTATAAAACGTCGTTAAGACGGTGGTATTTCATACACAATAACCTGAAGGGATGAATATTAATGATGTTTAATCTAACTATACTAGCAATTCTTGCAACAAGTAATGAGGCTCTTATTAATTCATTCAGAATCTAAAATATCACGATATAATTTAGTGGCCCCTATAGAACAGTGCGCCTCTGTCCAATCTCACACTCGTTAAATGCCTAGCTCTGTTTTGGTAACAGATAGTCGGGCACATCTCGTTAGTTATTTTTCCATGGCACGCTACTACTCGACAACTATTTTTAAACATACAAAACGGGTTTTCTCGACAAGAGTCGAGGTATTTTTGGTTCGACAGTGTATCATATCCCACATATACTACAAGTTATTTTTAAATTTAGTCTACGATTTTAACCTAAAGCTCCGCACATACCAAGCGATTTGACGGATATGCCTGATATCAGCGTTCCTAACGTATCTGGATCGCAGGCATTCCCTTAGAAGTGATAAAAAGTTTTCATTTTCGACCTGATCATAATCGTTAATGTCTATTACCTCATTATAGAGGGAGGTGTCGATAACACGGCTGCTAAAATGGGTGCAACAATTAAAACACAAAACATATTGCAAATGCTCACCATCCTATGTGAAACCCAGTATTGATTTATACAAATGACGCATCATCATACGATTGTAAGTTCAAGCGTTCGACGACGATGTATCTCTCTCATGTTGGGTTGCCAAGTTGTTACAAAGAGTCTTTATAAAAATCAATACGCATACATATACACCACTCACTCAGTCACTTGCTGATGTTCGGGTTATATTTCTTTCACAACTCGAAACACATCGAATATAATGTTACCAATTTTCTATTTATGATACTATTATTTATTTAGATATCCATCATTCATTTGCATTACATTATCCAGCGGCGTTCATAAAGCTATGAAAGTTATTTTACCAGAAAACTTTGATCATATCCAGCCCGTCCAAATAGGGAAAACTAGCAGCAACTCGCTCTCTGATCTTCAAGTTATCACCGCTTGGGGACGCAACGATCTTGTGCAGTTTGACCTAAAAGTGTCCTCGCGCTCATCCGGTTCCGATGGACCGCCTAGTTCTAAGAGTCGTTCATTTCGGCTGGTCGGAGTCCAGATATACGAGGACTGTTGGGAAAAAGCTAGGCTATTTCTTTAGTGTGTCGGAGTTTGTACATCCAGGACTAGCCGATACTACCTTGTCCCTAGAGTATCGAGATTGTGGATCAATATACCTGAGGCTTCCAGTTCTAGTAACCTCCGGTATAAAAAGTATCACGTCAAGTCACCGCGACCGCCCGCCGCTGGTCGGCAAAAAACGCGACCGCAAACAGCTCGATAAATAACTACCTAAATTCCTCGGACTATCTATTATAGGATAACAACTCTCTCGACTCGCTCACCGATTACCGAACCGACCGTCGGAACGAGTCACAGCAAGAGCAGCGACGACGAGCGACCCGAACACAGCTGTTCGGTCTGCGACGTTGCCGCCTTTACGCGGTCGCACCGGCCCGGAGCGGTAAACATCCGTAACAGCAACCTTGCAATTTCCCATTCGTCGATTGTTTATTTTAATCGGGAGGTTATCCACATTTCGCGGTTGCGTTCAGATGAGGCAACGTCGCAATTGTGGCGGCACGCGGCGCCTCGGTATTCGACGCTCGGGCTGTGATCATGCTTGCGGCTCGGCCGTGTCATGTCTACCGAGATACGATGGGACGAGAGGTTCATTCACGGAATTTTTTACACATGGCGATGATCACCGGAATTTGAAATAAACGAAACCGTACAAATGTACAAAGGTCGGGCTCAAAACTGCAATGCATGAATTATGACAGCTTACTATGTTCCAAGGTCAAACATTAAAAGAATCAAGTTTCTCGTATCAGTAGTTTTACATAACTTTTACTACTGAACAATCAATAAAACTACTCTCAAACGATTATTATACAGTTTATTACATTGAAGATTCGTGCTCGTTTCGCAAATAAAAATAAATAAAATTTAAATCAACTTCTCAGAATCGCTGCTGTGGCTAGCTGAAACGTCCTTACGAAACACCATCCTTATCACACTTTATTTATAGTCCGACCTTCTATCGCCCCTGACATTTCAATATATTTTTTTTCATCGTCACAAACTGTATTAAAATATCTCTGGCTTTTTGTTTTATTGCGTCACCTAGCATCCGAGCATGACTGGTTGTGTGAGAAGAGAAATGATACATTCTCTGTTGTCCAAGTAAACCAAGGTGCTTTAAAAATAATCTAAATATTCTGAGGTTAAAACGCTAAATTCTTATTGTATGATTAAACCCACTATTTTTAGCACATGCATCGATACTTTATGTGTAAAATATCAACTTGAACGCACAAAATTTAAAATAACAGATACAAACGAAAATATTCGCCAAAATGAAACTATGAAAGTAATATTCTTCGTTTAGATATCATGTACGTAAATTATGTACAAATATAACAAGCAGTGTCGCAATTGACCCTTAACAAACAACTACATAAGTATTTTTAATGAGATCAAAACGGTTAAACGCATGTTTTTAAGGTGAGAATAATATAGCGATTATTTATGCCACGAAAAATGAGATAAAAATAGGTAAAATCTAAATAATAATTTCGTTCGCGGTTTAAAGTGTTTAACCTATTCTGTGAAAATCTGTCACCTGTTCTTTTTAGTGCTTCCTGTTTCATACATATGTTTTGTGTGTTCCATCTTAAGTTCTTAAGATTCAGTACTTAAGATTTTGTGTTTAAGATGTCGGACCATTTATCGTTTAGTGATGATGATTTGGAAGAACTATTGGAAGTTATTGAAGTACCAAAAACACCTGGAAGCTGTCAATAGCGTCAATCGAATAGCAGCTTGGCAACAGCACAAAATAGAGGGCAAATTGGCAACAGTGTTGAATACGCAGTCGTTGGCGGTAAACGAAAATCTCGACCTAGAAAATAACTGGACATGCGCATTTTTGTAATTCTGGATGGTTCAGTTTTAGTTCCGAACTGGTTCATTTTTTGACCCGCGAACGCAATTTATATGTGTGTGATCGTAGTGTATAAAATGTCAATAAAGTTCACATTCATGTTATGCAGATGTAGCGCCGCATCGTCAGTTGTTCCTACAATTTATTGTAGGAGGCTTTTGACCTTGAATTTCATAGTTGTCTTCTGTTCCGTGTCAGCACTCTATTATGAGGTTATAATATCACAAATATCTATTTGCATCAGATAATTGTTTACTTATATCATCCGTTTTACCAGCCTATAACTCAAAAAGAAAACAACTTCACAATAGGAGAGCGATGACGTTGAAATACCCCAGCCTTTCTGAAGAAGAGAAAGACTATGACAATCCAGGCGTCGTACAATTATTGTAGTAACGACTGAAAAATGTGTAATCGTCCACTTTATACGACGCACCATAAATGTCAAAAGTTCAGCCAACAATCAACTGCCCGATGTAACTGTATACCAACTACACTATGTACGGATTAAAAACGGTCAGTAAACTTTGAAGCCGTCGACTAGCCAGATCTGGTGTAGAGGTAAAATCACGACGGCTCGGCGAATTATGCCGTTTCTGAGAACGCGGTGGTCAAACATGAAAAAATGGCTGCCATCTTGTGCCTTTGTTATATAGACGACGAGCGCGGAATATGACCTTGTAAAATGGACGTGTGTTACCCTGCCAAACCACTGCTAACTGCTAGCCGGACTACAAAGGATCGCACGACTGATAGTTATGCCAACGTATTTTGCATATTATGTTAAAGACTCGAATGTGGAATTTTTATGCCAGACAAAACGAAACCGAAAATTGGCAAGATTTTTTACACGCAGAAAAAATCACAATACAGTTTTATCAATTATGTACATTACACTAGTTCAGCCATTTTGATAACGTAGAAGTTTGATAACAGATTTGGAATATAACTTATCAGATCGTTGCTTCAGGTTTTGGAAACCATTTGAATAATAAACTAAGGCCCAATTTCACCAACATTAATATTATGGACCAATGGGAGAATACCTTATCGAAATGCAATTTGACAGAAGCTGTCAAAGGTCTCTGAATATAAAATATTGAATAAAATCGTGGACCTTCGACTGTATTATCAACAAGACCACTTTTTGATTCCAACATGATGCTTTTGTACAGAAAAAACGGGACAACTTTCATGTATTTTGATATATGTTATAGCACAGCCGACGTCAACTACGAGCCGTGAACAAAGAAATCTGGCAACGTAGGTGGTAGTGTTACTCCCGCCGCTGCTTGCTGCATCGACGCAACTCGTGCTCAAAACGCTGAGAAAACATAACCTTTTCAATTTGTGATTTTGGAATCCCAGAGGCTGTAATTAAGCGATAAGCTTGTTTTCTAAGCTTCAAAGTGTGTGTATGTGTTCAAAGTGATGGGTGACTATAATATATATGAGAAATAGACTCCAGTTGTAGTGCTTCTGTGCTTTAAAAATAAACTAAGAAGTGTGACTGTGGCTGTTCGCGCCTCAGGACGCTAAGGATTTCAACTATTGAAAACGTGCAAATTCAGGTTGTATTTTTCTTTTTTCATTTATCAAGTATTTGACGCAGACAATATGCCTCGTTGTTGCTGTGTTGCTTTATGCAATGCAAACTATAATTCTGCTTTGAAAACAGAAAGTTGACGTCCGTTGTGGTTATAGGTTTACATTTAACAATCCGTTATCCCCCTCAGCGAATGGGAATGCGGCAAATAATAGGTCGATTTCCTAGCTGTTAAATTTGGCAGCAGATTTGGACGTTTGTTAATGCATGGCACTCTTGAATTTACCAACTTCAATATACTGAAAGTTATCATTACATACCTGTTGAATAGTGTGGATTTGTCTGTATTTTGCAAGAAAATAGAATATAAAATACATTCCATCCAATTCCTCATCGTCCTTTACATCATAATATTTATTAATTTATGGGTTAATGAATTTCTTCAAAGCAATAAAAACATTATGTCCACTCCATCCTAAAACACAATATGTGTAAGACGTGTCAATCCCTACATCTCCCTGATGCACAATGCAATTACTATGGACATAGACAAAAAATTATGAAAAATGTTTCACAAATAATATCTTTCAAGTCCAAAAATGATATTAATGTTTATTGTTTGATTGTATTTTTCACTGGCGGGGATATCTATCTGTCACTGGCAGGGTTGCCAAGTCTAACGACCATCACGTCCTGTGGTGGAGAATGCGAAATGAACCTTTTACATTTGCTGGTTTTGATTTTTTTTCGTGAAACATTACTAGAATGTGTAATCGTGAAAAAAGAATATGACAAATTTGTAGTTTTTTTGCAGGTTTTAGGTTTGCTGGTAGCTTTAAGTCATATATTTGGGAATTTCTTAATCGCTGTGAATATAGTGTGGATGTTTGTTCAGTTCCTGAACAACGAAAAATATTCAACTTTATGGATGTATGGATATCAAAAAACCTGAATGGTTTTGTGGGAATATCAATCTGAGGTGCCATAATGGTTCTGATGAACGGCAAGTAAATGAATGAATGTTTGGAAACGAGCAATATCTTTTGGTAGAGCCTGTCATCAAGTAGGTGCTTACTGGCTATCTGCAAGAGGTTTATATGAAAAAACACCCAGTATCACATATCATTTGAAGAAAATAATATAAACATGAATAAAAAATCAACAATAGTAATTAAACCATGAATTTAATTCAAAAATCAAACATTTCTTTAAATTTTGACTGAATTATATGTAATTTCTTAATATTCAAAGCTGTTGATGTTTCAATGACAAGCTGTCATCTCATACTTTGACAGTATTTTGTTTTCAACATTTCATAGCTAGTGGTTGCTAAAATTTGTAGATTGGAACTTGAAGCTCATTCGTTGTATTTGACGGACTGTTACCCTATAGGTGGAGAATACCGGACTGTTGATTTGACAACCTCGGAGAAATTGGCCCTAAATCACGTAATGTCGGCGTATGGCGATCCGAGGAATAACTTACAAGTTTTACCAATACCGATTTCATACACGCAACAAACAATAAACCTTTCAGAAATCAGACACCCTCCTGCATACCCCCTATTTTAAATTTCGTCGATTTTTTCAGGTTAGTTAGTATCTGGGTTACCTGCTTTTCAAACAACATGGATCTAGTATCGTATCGTAATCGTTCATAGCCCGACTCTCTTTATTCTGTAGCACCGTAGTGCGTTTGTGGTATTTCCATAACAAGTGAATGGAAATTGAAATTATTATGGCCGCCATAAAATTGAATCGTTCAATAAATCATCAAAACTGTACTTCGACAATTTCACCGCGTCGTTTTCTTTCACTCGCAGATAGAAACGTTACTACGAAGATCTGTAAAGTACAGAAGACTTTGGCCTGAACGTCTACGAAAGTGATTCGGTACTTTCCAAAGTGAGAATCTCACAGACTAGAGGTTTTGAAGGATGGCGAAGCGAATTGATGCAATGAACCAAGACGTAAAGTTAAAAAAGTTTTAATTTAATACCAGAGGTGTACAATTTAACACGTGAAAACATCATAGGAACGCTACACGCGTGAGTTGTTTAGCATAAATTGTACCGATCGAAAATACTGTCAATGATCATGACTGCATTACCAGATAAATTTTGATAAAGGTTGTTCTGAAATTCAACAGATTCCTTATTGAACACAAGGACAGAACATGTTGGGGTACCCTGAAAATAGAGCAGAAGCAGGCTAAAATTCTATGAAGCTTTAGATCGAAAACCAGGTAGTGGGTAACGGGTGGTTAATTGTTTCGAAAACAGCTGCTACACCTTCAATGACCGTAGCCCTACATAAAGCACTTCTTAGTACATACAGATCATGCCACAGAAAATCGATGCAAAACTGAATAACATGCCACACATAGTTTAGAATAACTTAAAGTTAAGCACCAAACTAATGCTAAGAATTCTGAAATTAGGCCATTGAAAATATCATGGAACTAAACCAAACTTGTACAAATTGTATCAGTAGGTCATGAAAAATGATCTAATTCCAATTATTTGAATCCGTTACTTCCAGAATTCGATCAAATGTCATAAAAAGACAGCAGTTACGTGTGAAAATATTTTCTCTCTCGAAATTTGCGATACAGCTAAACCTAGCACGTTCGTGCGATAAAAATCCTCTCGACTTTCGCACACTAATCAACATGTTTCGTACACTTTTTGTTATACCTCTATACCTGCGGCAAAGTGAAAATATGTATGCAGATAAAAGAAATTATAACAATCATCTGCAGCTGAATCGCATCTTCAAACAACTACAAAGTATATGTCGACAGTTTCTTTTTTTTGAATTTTCCTCACAGTAATAATACTTCGATGAAACTCGGGTAGAGCCAATTTTTATCGGTATGTCAAGTTATTTAAAAATACTCAACAGGAACCAGTGCAGTGTTAATTTTTGTGTACAGTACTCAGTGATGTCTCCCGATTCCTACGTTCTCGTTACTCTGTACGGTAGCAGAATTTTAGAAGGAACACCTAGGTAAGATCTCTTGCTTACCCGTATACAGTACGCCAACATGATCGAGCATCGAGAAAAATAACGTTTACACACTGAGAAATGCTAAACTTCAAACTCCACCAAGAAGCCACAACGAATCCAACTCGGTCGAATCCGAGCGACCCCGACGTAAGCGGCGATCAGTGTCCGAAGGTGTACGCGGAAACACCACCTAAAAGGGGAAACAACGAGGCACTTATTCGGATCATCGTCGACTGCCGAGAAACCGGTCACCACCGCACATTTTCACGGATGCTCCGCGCTCGGGGCGCCGATAGATCTTCGAAATCGATGCGCGTTTAAAATCGCTAGCGATTCATCACGCGCGAGAACTGCACCTCGCGCTCGCGACCGACACGAAACGCTGGTTACGCGGCAATGATGACGAAACGGTGGAATGCCGCCGCGAGTTTACTTGTCGCCCGCGTCGGAACCGAAGAACGGCGCGGAACAGCCGAGATCGAGAGACCTAGTCGTTCTCTCGGGAATAATCGGAGGAAGCGAAAACGGGGGTGTAGGGGTTGCTACTTCCTCTAAGGGAATTACTATGGGGTTGCTGCTAATGCCATGTTTGTCGCCACGTTTTTAATGCCGTGAAGAAAGCAAAATTATTGAGATGTCCTGAACGACTTTTTCGTCGAAAATGACATCCAAACCAACAATAACCGTGGGTTACACTAGGCTAGGCATATGAGTAATGTAGTAGGAGGAATACATCCCCCATACAGTGAAAGTGCCTAAACGGGGGTACAACGGCTGGTTTAACAAATCGTGTTCGTCAGCAAAAGATTAAGGTATACTTTATCTGAAGTCACTTGAAATAGCATAAAAACCTTTGGTCGGCGCGTCCTTTGTAATTTCATGACGTATCATAGGCGTGCGGTCATTTATTTAGAACGATAATAATGTTTTTATATCACAATAAATGGATTTTACTCTCTTCTTATTTTTTTGATTTGGGATAAAAAATACTTATATTGGGAGTTTAATTTATGTTGACTGAAAGTTAAGAAATGGAAAAATTACAGAATTCCAACGTTTGACATAGGCAAATATTTACATAGCAGGTAGGTATATAAAAAGGTATATAAAGACTTACATTATAGGTATTTATATATCATCCTCGCCTTCGGAGCTGTCGCTAGAGTCATCTTGTAGAGGAATTACAACGGGATTTACAGGAGGCAAAACACAATATTCATTTTCTTTTTCAATAATATGCCTAGAACACTGCTTCCATAGGTCTGTGGCAGCAATATGAGATACTGCATCTCTTATTGTGGCCAATAGCGATTCACTTAATTGAGGGGTCTGATTATGTTTTCTTACTTTTTTTTTAAAGCAGCCCAGACCAACTCAATCGGGTTAAAAATGCAGTAATAGGGAGGTAGACGTAATACTTCATGGCCATTTTGCTGAAGCAGATTGGCAACAACATACTCTTTTTCAAATTTTTGTCTTTTAATAAGATCCAATAATATGGCTTTGGTTGATTTTTGTGGTATTTCCATTCCCTTATCCTTCATAAAATCAATAATGTCTTGTTTTTTTGTGCCTGTATTCGGAATTTTGTTTTTCTGTCGTGAATGGTATGGCGCATTGTCCATAATAATCACTGAATTTGGGGAAATGTTTGGTATTAACTGCTGCTCTATCCACTTTTCAAATAAGTCGGAGGTCATGTCCTCATGATAGTCGGCACATGATTCTTTTATATTTTTGGCAGATAACAGCAAGGCATTAGGTATAAATCCATTTTCACTGCCAGCATGGAGAATAATGATTCGTTTTCCACAATTGCATGGTGCATTTAAAATGCACTTGTTGCTGTCGTCAACCCAGCCGTACTGCACAACATCATGGGTATCATACCACGTTTCATCCAGGTAAATCAGATTTCTTTTCTGCTCTCTATACGTCAACGCGGGTGTTCCACAGGCATCCTCTTACATATCAACGATTTCCCTTCCTGTACGATCAGTCCTGGGGTTTACCTCTGCTTGGGGATGAAACAATCTTTGTACAATTTGGTTAGAGAACATTGCCCATATTTTCTGCAGTTGTAGTATATATAACAGGGTTGTCGTCGTTTCCTTGAGAACGCTTAATTTTGAATACACGCGCCGAGTCCAGGCTTTCAGATCTAACGTTACGCCGCCGCTGTACCGAACCAATCACGACATTTTTAGGACGGCTAATAAGGCGTTTTGCGTTTCCTTTCCCCTTGCCCGACGCCCCTCCCACCCTTCACGATCCTTGTTCTTAGCTCGCCGACGTATTTTCCTTCGCCACATTCACGTATTGTACAGTACAGGTGAGGTGATACAACGATATACAAGACACATATTAATAGAATGCTTAACTAAAATACTATAAGGTTGTCGACCCTGCTCGACCAGCCATTGCGCTCGCTCGGTTTGCTTGGTATTCGTTCTTCGTGAGTTAGTGTCGTAGTTAGCCGCGAGAGACCATTTTTTCTTTCGTCTCTTCTGTATTGCACCGGCAATCTTGTTGCGAAATGGCGAATCGCAAAACTATAGAAAACGGTATGATTGTACGGTACTCATGCGCTGTTTGAACTAGTACAAGCGTTGGCTAATGTGTTAAAGTTGCGTTTTGTGTTAAAAATCAAGCAGAATATTGTCCTCAAACATACAATATTTTTCAAAAAGGTTCCTTCGTTCTTGGAACTTATCACCTACTGGCGGGAAAGTATTTTAATCTCGAAAATGAGATTATTTTTGGATGTTATATAAAACGCACATCACGAAAAACCATGTCATTCATCTGCTAATATTTGGCCTGTCTATGACTTAAGAAGTGCCGGTTGTGTTTTGAGGACATTTTCGCACCAGGTTACTGCTACGGCAAGGACGCAAAAACTACAACGTTTTTGAAAATGGGTCCAGTAGCGACAGAGAAAGTCCTAAAACCAGAAAAATAAAAACCGCTCAAACTTCGTTTTTTGGCGTTTCAGAGATCATTTTTGGATTTTTTTTTGTAAGGATTGAAACTTGAGGGTTGGGGTTGAACTGGTCTTTAGTATTAGTCAAAAACGTTCTATCATCAAGAAGCTTCTGATCCCGGTAACAACGGAAAACCTCAGAAATATTTATTATTTTAGCAATATTTGGATATTATTACTTAGCACTTTAGCGTCCTGCGATGCTTTTGTAAATAATGATTTAACTGTTTTTATATCTACGCATATATTTTTCTGAATTTTATGATCCTTAAATGTACCACCCAATTTGCATAACCTTTGATTTGTGTTGCTCTGTCTATGACGGTTCTCTGGATATTTTGTCAAGTAGATTCACTCGGCACTTATGACGCGTTTATATATACTAAGTGACATATAAATCCGAACACCCAGTTTAAATGGTTTTATTTTAATAAAAGTTGGTGAATGTATTTATCTTACTGTAAATAACAAGTGAAAACATTTTCAGCCTTATCAGTTGGGCATTCCGGTTTTTATACTGCTTTTTAATATTTCAGCCGCAGTAAAGAATCAACGTTGGCGGATTTTGGTTCTTGACATCCTTTACGATCGGTTACGATGCCTAGAGTACGGAGACCTGTACCATTTCGTCAACTTAGTGAGTTTGATAGGGGCCGTATAGTGGGACTTCGGGAAGCTGGACTTTCTTTTCGGGCAATTGCAGTTAGAGTGCAAAGAAGTGTAGACACTGTGGTTAGGTGTTGTCAGGCATGGCTTCGAGAAGGCCGTACGCAAAGAGCAAGATGCACTGAACGCCGCCGTAGAACAACAGACCGTGAAGATCGCCGCCTAAGATTATTGGCCTTAAGGGACCGTTTCTCCACTACCAGGTCCATTGCAAATGAATGGTTTGCAGAACACGGAAGACCTATTGGCATGCGAAGTGTTTACCGACGAATGAGAAGTTTTGGCTTGTTTTCATACCGGCCACACTGGGTCCTCCCTTTAACTCGAGAACACCGACGTAATCGCCTTGAGTGGTGCAGACAACGGTCACTCTGGGATCAGGAATGGAACAGTATTGTCTTTAGTGACGAGTCTCGATTTTGTTTAGGCATGCACGATGGTCGTGCCAGGGTTAGAAGGCGACGTGGTGAAAGGAGGAATGCACAGTTTTTTGTTGAAAGACATGTTCATCACACTGTTGGAGTTATGGTTTGGGGTGCTATAGCTTATGGTTCCAGGTCACCTTTAATCTTCATCAGAGGTAACATGAACGCGCAGCGTTATATCCACGAAGTCCTAGAACCCCCATCTTTTACCCTATCTTGACACCCCGCCAGATCCAACTTTCCAACAAGATAATGCCCGACCACATGTTGCAAGAGTCACAATAGACTTCTTTCAACATAATGATGTCACATTGTTACCATGGCCACCAAGATCTCCCGACTTATCCCCAATTGAGCACGTGTGGGATATGATGGGTAGGAGATTGCTCAATTTGCAACGTCCTCCTCAGACTCTAGAAGCACTTCGAGAGGAGTTGGTGGTTGCAGCGGAAATAAAATCGATGGAACATAGTGTTACAACGTTTCAGATATTCTTGCTCATTTTCAGACATTGTTTAGAGGCGATAAAAATTGCAGGTTGGAAACTGTATGCAGTAAATCGTTGTTGATTAATAAAACTCAGCTTGCTGCAAAATGATATTTCCTGCTAAAACAACAGCTTTTCTGGCTTTTTCCATTATCATTAATAAACTGTGAAATTTATCCTACAGTTTTAAGATTCAAATACCAACTTACGTCAAACACACTTTAAAACTGGTTTATTCGTCAACAGACTGTAAAATTCAAACTGTCAACTTCTGAAATCGACTAGGTATTTATAAATAAGAAACAATAGATATCCCATCATTTGAGCAATCGGATTTGTTAAAAACGCATCACTAAATATACTAACTGAATAATAGCTTTTGGTGATAGCTAAAAATAGGGTCTTTCAAACGAGTCGATTTAGAACTTTCCATGCATAATTATACCTACCAAACGCATCGACGACATGTCGTCGCGTTACTGTTAAACAAAATGGCCGTTCGTTAATTGATGCAGGTTATAATATATTTATTACCGAGCGCGATGCTTCCTTAAAATATGTTGCTAGCAACATTTATTTACTTTGGGCGATTGCGTCATTTCTTCGTAGAAATTCGAGGTAAGTGACCTTCAGCTTGGAGAGGCGTATGAGCCATCTGTGAGTGGTGATATAGATATAGACGGATGAGTGAGCGTTGAGTGACGTATCGCATTCCGTACAGTATGAAATCAACGGAAAGCAGTACTTGTTTCAATTCTAATATGGAAGACGATGGAAAGTTTTATTACATCGTTATCAGAAAGAGTAAACATATAATCTAATCAAGTATGTCGTCCATCAGGCATAAAAATTAATATCCTCAAGGCGTTTATGTTTTTTATGCCTTCTTATTAACCCTATATCTGGTGCTGTAGCCTGTAGGCAACATCATCTTTAAACCTCAATTTCTCGTCCTCCCTGCTCTAACGGTCTGATTGGGCAGTGTTGCGCGTAAGCTACATTATTCGTTAACGGAA